TTATTTGATACAATAGAAAAACAGGACTTGATGTTTGGTACAGAAACTTCTGTCTGTAGTTACAGAGGTCAGGTGTTTCCTGTAGTTCTGGACCAGATTTGGACTGTTGGCCCACTCCTCCTCACAGATCTTCTCCAGATCTTTCACGTTTCAGGCCTGTTGCTGGACAACATTGAGTTTCAGCTCCCTCCAAAGATTTTCTGTTGGGGTCAGGTCTGGAGACTGGTTAGGCCCCCCCAGGACCTTGAAGTTCTTCTTACGGAGCCACTCCTTAGTTGTCCTGGCTGTGGTTTGGGTCATTGTTGGTGGAAGACTCAGCCAGGACCCTTCAATGCTCTTACTGAGGGAAGGAGGATGTTGGACAAAGTCTGACGACACATGACCCCATCCATCCTCCGTTCAATACGGTGCAGTCGTTCTGTCCCCTTTGCAGAAAAGCACCCCAAAGTATGATGTTTCCACCCCCATGCTTCACAGTTGGGACGGTGTTCTTGGGGTTGTACTCATCCTTCTTCTTCCTCTAAACACGACGAGTGGAGTTGATACCAACAAGCTCTATTTCGGTCTCATCTGACCACAGGAACTTCTCCCATGCCTCCTCTGGATCATCCAGATGGTCACTGGTGAACTTCAAACGGTCCAGGACATGTGCTGCATGAGCAGGACCCCGAGTGCCCTGCAGGATCTTAAACCTGGACCGTGTGTGTTACTAGTGGTCCTCTTTGAGATTGTGGTCCCAGCTCTCTTCACGTCATTGATCAGGTCCTCCCATGTAGTCCTGACCTTTCTCAGAATCATCCTTACCCCATGAGGGGACATCTTGCATGGAGCCCCAGACAGAGACAGGTTGACAGTCATCTTGTGTTTCTAATAACTGCACCAACAGTTGTCTTCTCACCAAGCTGCTTGTCTCTTGTCCTGTAGTCCATCCCAGTCTTCTGCAGGTCTACAATTCAGTGCCTGGTGTCCTTAGACAGCTCTTTGGTCTTGACCATGGTGGAGAGTTCGGAGTGTGATTGATTGAGTGTGGACAGGTGTCTTTTATACAAGGTGCAGTTATTACAGGTACTGAGTGCAGAACAGGAGGAGTTCTTAAAGACAAACTAACAGGTCT